CCTCCCTGACTTTCATCAGATGAGAACTTGAAAAAAAAAAAAAAAAAAGAATAAAGACAAAAAATCCCGTTCCATGTTTTGACTTGGACTCTAGGTGTTATTCTCTCAGTCCAGCTTGAAAGGAAAAAAGCCCACCCCACGAGGGGGCAGGCCTGCTTCCCTGTCTTCTGCCACCACACAGTCTCTGAAGTGTGTGAAGAAGAGAGGAAGAGACAATTAACACTCAGCACCAATCTGCATTTCCTTTTTAGCTGCCATTTACACGCTGCTCAGGTTTTGAAAACCAGCATTTCATGCTGCTCCCTAGAGAGCCAGCACCAGCTTCAGCAGGACCCATCTGCACAGCAGTCACAGTGCTGAAAGCTTCAGCCAACCCAGAATTCATTTATTTATTTTTTGAAAAATGAAAGAGAGGAAGAGAAAGTGCGAGCCAGTGAGCCGGGTGAAAAGAATAGATTGGAATCTGGTAATATTTAACGCACATGCTTGACCAATCCCTGCGCTGGTCTAGACAGGGGTGAGTCAGTGGAGGTTTTCTTTGATCATCTTCTAGATTAGTGTGAGCAGTGAGTGAATGAGCAAGAGCTGTGTGACAACAGGGGCTGACAGGCTGTGAGGTTGGAGGCAGGAAGGACACACTCGATAAGTTTCGGCGCTGCTCATCAGCCTGTGTGTCAGCACTCTCTTGCTGACGGGGAACAGCAGGGAGGAAAGCCATACTGGGAAGTCACTGCTGGTGTGGGACAAGTTACAGGATGCTTCTGGAGGAGGGAAATGTGTGTCATCAACTCCTCAGGTCTGGCCCACTTGCTTTATTTCCTCCTGCCCACCCCCCCCCCCAAAGGGGGTTGAATGGAAGCATAATAGCTTCGATAACCTTTGTTATTTTATCATTATTATTTTTTAAACTGAATTCAGCACCACAGGAGGTCTAGGTGTGGTCCTACATGGCAACTTTTAAAAGGGGTTGGCAGTCAGTTGATAAAACAGAGACTCAGCCTGAGATGAGGGCAATCAAATTTCCTGCTTCAAGGCATGGGTTGATCACCACAGGGGTCAGAAAGAAGTGTTTTTCTCATGCAAGTCCTGGCATGAATATAACTCTGATGAGCCATAAAAAAAAAAAAAAAAAAAAAAAAAAAAAAAAAAACTTCACTTCTCCCACAGAAGAGGGCGGGGCTGGCTTATCCTTATTTCAATAGACCAATGAGTGTGCAATTCATGTCTGTGTCTTGGGGTTGTGGTGTAGTGTTTACAGGTAAACTCCCTGACAGGCAGATATATACTGTGTTGGAACTTGTTGTTTGGAATTTGCAGAATGGAAATTGAAAAAGGAAAAATGCATCTCAGGCAGGTTTTGGAAAGGGTGGTAGACATGGTTGGTAAAACTGCTTTTTGGTTTTTGTTTGTTTTTTGAAAATCTAAACATGGTGATCTGGATGCAGTTGTGTCAGGTCAAACAGGTGTTATAGGATAGGTAAAGTGACTTTGTCTCATAACCAACACAGGTGGCAGAGTTTCTCCAGCCTGCAGACCCGAGGGGCAATGAGCCTGTAAGCAGCTTTTGTTCTTTTGGTTCTGCCTCACAGAGGTAGAGCCTCAATCCTTCCAAGTGTGAATAGTTCTTGGCGGCACTTCAGTGGCAGATGTCCTCTTGCAGGAGCACTGCAGGCAGATCCATCTCAGTGGCTTTTAGCAGGCATGGCCATGCAACTGCTTCCCTGA